AACATTACCATTGCTCAGATTATGAAGTCTAGGGAGAAAAAGGAGTAAACTTGAGGAGGTGGATTTTAACAATGATTCAGGGGTTTGTCAAAAGCTTGCTTCTAAAGATGAAGAAGAAACTAGAAGCAAAACAGAGAAGATTACGGTTTTGGTTTTGTCTGATGAAATCAACTCTTCAGATTCTACTCATGTTGCTTCTAATGGAATAGTTGATGATAATGATGAAAGATTGAAGGTTGAAATAGAGGAGCTAATTTTGAATATAGAGGAACGTATTACGAAAGCAGAGAAGAATTTGGAAATGATTAGAGAATGGAAAATCAGAAGAAACCAGATTCAAACTATAGTTTCTGATTAAATTATGTAGATTGAGAAGTTTTTTTTTTTTTATATATGTCTATATGATATTTTGGTGTTTATTATCTAGAGATGTATCAATTATTAACTCTTTGTTTTTTTTTGTCAAAATGATCCAAATTACTAGATTTGCAATTTCTCTATCGTGTATGAAATATATATCTATATATGTCAATATGTGTGTGTGTGTGTCTACTAGATTTGAATCAAAGAAAGTGTAAATTATGAAGATAACGTTTGGTAATGTTCTTAGCGGTTGATTTAAAGTTTTTTTTTTTTTAACATCGGTTGATTTAAAGTTTTCTTCCACTTTTGAGACGTTCTCATAAACTTTTTTTTCCTCTTCTCTCAAAAGTATTTCAAATTCGTGCAACTATTCTTTTTTCTTTGTCGTTAGTGTTATCAGATATGCATGGCTGAAACAAAAAAATAGAGTATATATATACTGATATACATACACATAGGTTTTTTTCTTCTAAATGATTAAAGTTTATTTTTTTTCTAATCTGGCAGAAGGCAAATGATCACAAAACAAATAAAACTTTAATTAATTTTGTACTGAAAGTTAGAAAATTTTGTATTGAAAGTTGAAAACATTATTTAAAATGAAACAAAAAAAGCTGACAAAAAATTCAATTAGCTCAATCTATACTCTATCAATCTGCAGAATTTATATAGTCACAAAAAGTAAAGATATAATTAATTTTGCTTTGAAAGTTGAAAACATTATT